CACAGTTTTGAGAAATTTAAAACGTTAGATTCGGAAATATCCACTATTTCAATAGCTGAAATTTAATGTAAACATTTTAAAAAAATAGCTTAAGAGGACAAAATTTTACCTTTAAAGTGACACGGAAATTGAAGCCATGTTGCTCAGTGTTCTCGAGCTTCACTGTTTCTGGTAAGAGACCACAAACCTAAACATAAGCATGTGCTGCTTTAACGCGCAGAAAACTCATAATCGCTTCCGCAATTCACTAACGATCATTTGCGATGCGACTACAATGACTGCACTTCTTAAAGCGAAAATCAAGCACAAAAAGGTGTCGAGAGCCTCCGAATCTTCTAAGATAAGCATCTAAGCATAACACCACGAGTCCAACCATACTGAACTGCTCACAAAACAAACAATAGTTCAGAAAAATGATTTTCCAAAGAAAAAAAATGGCTCAAAAGACCACACAGTACGAGGCACAAAGTCATAGGATTAATATGTCTGGCACTGACCGAAATGTAACAGTCGAACTCTGGTTCTACCGATACAGCAAACTACAAAACCCAAAACTCCGGGTGGTAGCCGATGCATTTCCGACACACAGTGCTGAATGCTGCGGGGCAAAAATGCCATTCACGCAGCCATTAATGATCGAGCATGCTTCAAAGACCATAACGTACGCGCAGGAACGAGTTAAAAGTTTAAAATAACTGGCCAACGCACTGGCTGCCGGTGCGAAGATGCGTTTTTTGCTTAGTTCCTCGCAGTTTTTGTTGCTACCGGCATCGATTTTTCCGGCAAATGCTTCTAGCTAAACAAACTAAGACTAGTCGTCAGAACTGTCAGGAAACACCCTCTTTAAACTCCAGCTTTCCAGGCTCCCGAGTTAGCAACTTACCCGAAAAAAACTTTGGTGGGCCCGTGCGTGGGTATCATGCATATTCGACGGCTAGGTTTGAGCTCGTTGATACCTACGTGGACGGGGGACATATCCCTAAAATTTCAGCTTTCTAGCTTTTCTAGTTTCCGAGTTAGCGACTTACCGGTAAAAAATTTTCGTGGGCCCGTACGTGGGTACCACGCGGGTAAGAGCGCTCATTTTGGGGATTAGGGCCCGTAAGTATATGTAGATCAAGTCCTCAAAATTTCAGCCTTGTAGCTTTTGTAGGTATTGAGATGAAAAACCGTGACAGACGCACACACAGACAACCCCTCATCAACATGTGTTTTCTGCACTGCACAGATGCAAAAAACGCTTCAGAAAGTGAATGAGTCTCGACAAAATCGAGGATCTCCCATTGGCGATACGACTAATTTCACGAACTTGTTAAAAGCTACTAGAGTAATTGTAAACGATAAACGAATCCCCCACAGCAAGAGAGCATCTTGACTGTTGGCTCACTGCCAGCACAAAAGTGGAGTAAGTAGTAGCAATAATTCGATCAAAACAGTGACCTTTTTGAGGACAACATTGCACTCTTTCTCAATTCCCTGTATTCTTTCTGAGATGGCGAGAAGATTTTCATCAATGTTGGGAAGGATCCTGTACACACCGCTTTTTTTCCAGTACGTAATATCCACGGTAGTCTCGATCAATGTAACAAACTTTTCAAATTGCAGCTGCGCTAAACTCAGTGGCTCCTGCAAAAAAAAAAAAAACGAAAAAAAAAAGTTGTTTCTGAAAGAGCTTGCTTGAGAAGCCTACCAACTTTAATGAGTTTTGGACCCATAGAAATGAAATGCTTTATGGTAGACCATGGCCAGAGGTATGCATGCACCGAAATGGCACAAATGCAGAAGTTAAGAAAAAATATATTTTGCTAACGGTAGTCTAACAGCTAACAAGTCACGATCCGAAGGATTGGGAGGCAATAAAGAAAATTAGGTTGGTTTCCTGCAGCCCATATCTTTGCTAAAGGAAACCCGTTCGTGTGCGACTGAATTGGATTAGACGACGACAGCGAAGGAACCTATGACTGTACAAAGAACAAATGCGTACCACGGATAAGAGTCGGCTACAGTCAA